CTTGGTTGTGCTTGCAGGTACATCCAGCAACAAGTTTGGTTGTTTGCCGAGCATTCGAACTTCGCAGTGGAACGTCACAGGTGTGAGCTTTCCAAACTCTGTTTCATTTCGGCCCCTATCTTTGGACCATGCTTTGGTCCCTCCCTATTGCTTGTTTTAGTGCACTGCCGACCATGATGAAGGGTTGCCGGCTATGGTCTAAGCCCTGCCGGCCATTGCTGAGGCCTGCCGGCCATCAATGAGGCACTGCCGGCCACCACTGATGGCCAGCCGGCCACCATTATTTCAACAGATATATTTTAGATATTTTTGAGCCAGCTGTTTGCAGGATAAACCATCTGCTTGCACGTGGACTGCTGGATTTGCTTGAATTATCCTTGTATCTCCTATGTATAGAGGGCTTCTATATGCACGCAAAGGGTTACAAAAGTTTGAGCTGAGATATTTCCTCCCTCTCTCTATAGAATTATCTCTCTCTCTCTCTGTATATATATATATATATATAAAAATTGTGTGATATTGAGTTTAAAAGTGAGTTTTCTTTATGCTTTTGCACTAAGACAACTAGTCAAACACCTTCACCTTTGTTGCGGAGGTTCTTAGAGGATTGCTTAGAGCTCAAAAGTTGGTTTTGGCTCAGAGAAAGACCTATTTTGCTGCTGGTCTTCAAGGGTGAGGATCTACCCCTTTTAAACTTTGTTTTTGTACTAGTTTAGGCCACCTTTGCATGCTTATTTTGGCTTAGTTGTCAACTACAAAAAAACTCTATTTTTGAATGCTAAAAATGGTTGTTTGAGGCCTTATGGAATTTGGGAGTGTTTCACCCCCTTGAATGCCTTATTGGCTAAGCTCTTAGGCCATCCTTTGAAGCTTTTGTAATACCCTTTGCATGACCTTTCTACCACTGAAACTTAGAGGAATTTCAGTGGTGGAAAGGTGGTTTGAGGTCCAAAATGGGAAGGGGTGGTCCCCTCTCCTCTTGTCTTACTTGCTTGTGTTGTTGGCCTATTAAATGAGCATGCTTTTCTACCCTTTTGATGCCTCGTTTAAGCATGTTTTTGCCACTGATTTGCCATGCTTTCACTCTTTTTTTGGGTGTTTGGGTCACCTCTTGTTTGCTTTGGGTACTTGTAGTGCAATCATGTTTGTTGGCCTAACATGCTTCATGCTTTAGTTCATCATTCTAGCATGTGTTAGCTTTGCTTTAGCACATTTTTGCCACTCATTTGACATGCTTGAGGTCTATTTTAAGTGGTCTTGGCCATATATGCTTAGCTTTGTATAGCTATAGTGTAGTTGGGCTTCACTAGCTTTGTGTTTGAGGTCCCTAACATGCTTTGCATATGATGATTGCATGCCTTAACCTCATTTCTCACATGATTTTAGTGTTTATAGCATGGTCACACTCTCACATGTTCCACTCTTTCAATGCGTTTGAGAGATGTGCCTTATGCCTTGTTTGTGAGCCAATACGTATCCATGATTGTCTAAGTTTGTGGACTACTATTTCAGCATGTTTTGGTCTTTGTTTTGGCATGGTTGAGGTCTGTCCATAGTTGGTTTGGTCATTTGTGCTATGTATTGCATGCCTCTTGTGTAGTGCCCTTTGCTAGCCTTATGCTTTAAGCCCTCTGGCATGCCTTATTTGCGATGCTTATGTGATATGGCATCATTTAACATGTTATTTCAGAGCATATAACCTTGCCATACTCTCATGTATATCACTCTTTAATTGTGTTTGAGAGTTGAGTTTTGTGCCTTGTTTGCGAGCCATAACTTCAGCATGCTTTTCTTGCTTCTTGTGCTTAAGTTTCGTCACATTTCAGCGACTGTTTTGGTATGCATGAGGACTGTTTGGGGCTGGTTCAGTCCATTAAGCATTGTATTGCATGGTCCTAGTGCTGTATCCTTCGCTAGTTTTGACGCTTAAGTCTCTTAACATGTTGTGCATGCGTTGCTTGTGTGTTAGAGTCTTGCGTTTCATGCCAAGATTAGCATGTTGTTTGCATAGAATGTTGGTTGCATGCATTGCATCGTGTTCAACCGAACGTTATGTTGAACACGAGGTGGATTGATCCACCTCATACTCAAAGTGATGAAAGTGAGCCAATTCCCTTTGTCTCCGTTGCCTTTGACCTCTCATGACAAGGCCATGGTCTTAGAGTCTTGTTCGCATTGCATTCATTGAATGTGTACAAGATTGGATCTTTGGCCATCAAGCATTGCATGCTTGATTAATGGTCTTGGATCCAATGGTGCCTCTCCCTTGATGTTTTGAGGTGATATAGGGTGGCACAGTACATACATGCCCTAGGGAGACCCTCACTTCCCTCTGTTTTTGTGTTCTGTTGCAGAATGGTGTCACAGCACACCAGTGGCTGACAGTGGCACATTGATGGCCGACACCCTTCCATCCTTGGCCGGCAAAGGCCCACTCTTGGCCGGCAGGTGGCCGGCAGCCACCTTTCATGGCTGGCAGGCCACTGGTGCACTTCCCAGCCTTGATTTGGCAAGGTTCAACAGCAAGTCCTTAAAGACACCCTGCAAACAGAGCCTCAAGAGAGCAAATTGGAGAGCTTTTCGGGGCGGAAACCAAGCATGCATCTTCTACTTCTTCGAGCAAAGCTAGAGCAGCTTGGTTTAATGCTTACTTGTTAGTTAGCCTCAATTCGTAATTTAATTAGCTAATTTGTTAATTAGTTGAAGTGATGTAATAATTAGTAAGTAGATTGCTTATTATTCAATTTGGTTGTGTAATAATTAGTATAATTAGATTATTAGATTAGGTGCTTAGCTTAGCTTAGCTTAGCTTAGCTTTTATTCGGACCCTCCATCGAGAGGGCACAATGTTGTAATAAGGTTGCGTGTGTGTGTGCATGCCTTCCAACCCCACGTCTTTCTCCATTTTATTTAACCGCTTTCAGTGGTTAGATTAGGGCACATTTCGATTAGCATACCTTATGCTTGCATGCGTGCATCGTTCATCTGTGTTGCACGCACCGGGCTCGGCGCATCATTCAAATTGCATTGTATTTCAATTCCTATTTGAATACATGTATCAAGTGTTGCAATCATATGCCATCATAGATAGCCGAGCCTATTTAGTTGCATTTTTGCATGTGTTGCATTCGGCATATAGCATAGCTAGGATCATGTATCGATTTCTAACTAGTTTTCTGTTTTAGCTCGGAGTACACTGTAAGTGTTTATGCTTTACCATACTTGCATGAGTGTAAGTGATTGCCATGTTTAGCATGCTTGCTATAAGGCTATGTGCTTAAGTGATTAACTACATGAATGCCTGTGGATAAAGGCTTCATTGCTTGAATTGGAACAATTCATCAAAATGTGCATTTTAAGCTCACTTGTTTGTGGTAAATCATGTTTTAAGCCCACTTGAGGCTGGCAAACCCGCATTTTAGCCTACTTGAGCGTAGCAACTTCAAACCATTTTTGAAAAACAAACATGAGATGTTTTGCTCCAAATTGAGTGATTTAGTCTATACTTGTATGCTGTGCGCATCACATAGTAATTCTAGATGAATAACCGAAATAAGAACACATGTTATAAAAACAACATATCATGTTAGTAGAGGCCGATCTTTGATCGGGCGAGCAGGGGTGCTTATTCCAGGACCTTCCCCTCTCGTACGCAAGTTCCTGAGCCGAGGTAACTTTGGTGATGACGGACACGTGGCCTTAGGCACGAGTCAGGGTTTCCTAAATTTTCCAAATTAAAATATTTAGATGGCGACTCTGAAATCTGGCAAAGCAGTCAATGTTTGGCACCTTTTGATTAAAATTGGTTTTTCAAAACAATTTGTCGGATTTGGACTCTTTGATAATTTATCAGTCTTGCATTGCACTTTGTAAGATTAGATTTAGAACCGTGATAGGAGTCCGAACTGTAGTAGATATAACACAATTCGCGCCCTCTCCCAAAGGGAGGCGCGCGAAGTGAGTTCGGGCGATCTACAGTTTCTGGTCACTTTGTTGGGGATTTAGAGAACTTGACTCGAACGTCATGATTTGTTGTTTTGTTTATACTTATGTGTTTCTTTACATTGCATTTGCATTGGTGTGCCTAAGTCATAGTGTTTGCCATCTGCTATTCCTGAAAGGTTTGCCGGAGGCTTGCTTGGAAAAGCATGCCATAAGGTTGACCGGCTACGGGCTCTACCACGATGGGAGCACAACCTTGGTTTTTACCGAGGCACCCTTTTTGACCATTCGACCTAGTGCATACCGGAAGCCGTAAAGACCATTCCAAACTAGAACAGGTTGCTTACTCGATTGTAGGTTGTTTGAAAACCGCTGCGTGCGTAGCGAAACCCTAGCTCCTGACAAAATAGGACAGGGAAACCCTATCCCAACATAGGGGTGTTTTGGCTCTTACTTGCTTGATATGTGCTGTCAAAGTGTGTCTCTACAGGTTGTATGGATCAGTTACAAGTTTGAGTATCAGTCTGAGGACATCAGTATTTGGGGGTATCAGATTTGATGCAGTGATTTGGGGGCAGTGATCAGTGTTGAGAACAGTGTGTTCAGCTTACCAATGACAACTGTGTGTTGTCTTTATTTTTAAGCCGAAATGTTGTCCGTTTTCCTGCTTGTTATTTCCTTATTATGAAGCTAATGTGGAATTTAGAGCTTATAAATGTATAAATTATATGAGCAACTCAAATGTTGAATTCAAGATAAATAAGTAGAATTTTTTTATTGAAACTACTCATTTAAAAAGATTGCAAAAATCCAATGAAAACAACCCAGTAAATGCACCAACATGAAGATTTATGATGGTTTTAAATTAGTCATTAAATTTTTTTGTAAAATGCTAATTAGTATGAAAGAGCAAAAAAATAGACTAGAAAAAGGGGTTGAAATTGAAGAATCTAAGAAGAAAATGGAAAACAAGAACGACATATAGTCCAAGGATAGAAGGCAAATACTCAAAAGGTTAAGCAGTTGAAATCAATTGTCCCAATGTGATCATGTGGAATTCATTTTGCATGTGTCCTTCGATCATCTGATAGCTTCATGGCAACTTGTCTCATGGTTGGCCGAGATAGTGGATTGGCTTGCAAACATGCAAATGCTAGTTTTGCAACCACAACTACTTGCTCTGCGACTTGATTCTCAGGTGCTGGGAGACGTTGATCCAACACATCCTTCAATAATATCCCATGTGCAGTTGATGTGGATGAGGAGTAGGAAGATGATGATGATGACAGAGAGGAGGTTAGATCACCTGGATGCTTCCCCATAATCACTTCCAATGTGAGAACCCCAAAACTATAAACATCGCATCTCTCATTCACTTCCATTGTATAAGCAAGTTCTGCCAAATGAAACAAATGACCAAGAGAAGAAAATAGTAATTAAAAAAAATGGTGGAAAAAGAAAAAAAGAAAAATAAGAAACATGTACATTCTCATATTCCATATCAAAATAACAATAAGAAGTTTAACAACCCTTTCAATTCGAGTGAAATAAAATCCAAGATTAAACATCTCTTAATATACAATATTGATAAAATAAAATGAACATTAAATACCAGGAGCAGCGCACCCAATGGTCCCTGCAAATGATGGCCAATTGGACGAGTCAGGCTTCATAAATCTAGATGTGCCAAAATCGGATATGTGAGCCGCATACTCTAAATCAAGTAAAACATTCTTGCTTGATATGTCTCGATGGATGATTGCTGGTGTACAGTCGTGGTGCATATAAGACAAAGCATTTGCTACATCTTTGACAACATTCACTCTCTTAATCCAATCAAAGTATAATACCTGATCCTCCATGCTCAATATCTTTCCCAAGCTTCCCCCTTCCAAGAACTCATAAACCAAAAATGAGTGCCTTTGGTGTGAACAATAGTCATAAAGTTTTACAATATTGTGATGGCGAATCTTTGTTAATGCACTTATCTCACTCGTAAAGCCTTTTAGATTAGCCAAGTCACCATCGGGCAATACGTGAAGTTTCTTCACAGCAACTACTTGACCACTTATAAGATCAGCTCTATAAACAATACCACATCCTCCCTCCCCAACACAATATTTGGTACTAAAGTTCTCAGTCACTTCAATGATGTTTTCATACACCATTTTCCCATCATAGCTCCAAATTTCAAACATTTTTTTATTATTTGCACGTCTTGGCTCAATTTTTGTGTTCCTCGATTTTTTTAAAAAAACCAAGAGTACTATTCCAACAACCATTAGTAAAAGAATAGAAAAGCAAAAATAAGAACAATTAGTAATACAACTTTGCTACTCTTTTTTGTAGCAACCCCATTGTTTATTATTTGCGGGCAAGTCTTCAAACTAGTAACATTACCACATAAACCTTTATTACCTCTAAGTGCCTCAAATGGAGCCTCTCGGAAGGCTTTGATGTTAGGAATAGGACCATCCAACTGATTGAAAGATAAATCTATCAATGTCAAACCTAACATATTATCAAAAGATGATGGAATGAAACCAGAGAGTTCATTGTGGGAGAGATTCAATGTTTCTAACATTTGCAATTCTCCAATCTGCTGTGGTATCTTACGTCTTAGCAAATTATGACCAAGATCAAGAATTTGAAGGTTATGCACATGACCTATTTCAGAAGGAATGCTTTCCCCAAATCTATTATTGCTCAAATTCAAGTTCCAAAGTTTCTTACACTTTTCAAGTGCTCTAGGGATTGAACCACTCAAATCATTTGCTGCCAAATTAAGGATCTCTAGATTTGACAACTTGCTGAAATCTGGAGGAATATTGCCTAATAGATGGTTATCATCTAGCTTAAGCTTGAATAGTGAAACCATCCTTCCCAATTTCACTGGGATTTGTCCAACTAGGTCATTTGAAGAGAGGTCAAGGAGGCGTAATTGAGTTGAATCCATTATTTCAAGTGGTATCTCACCAGAAATATTATTGTTGAACATTTTCAGACAAGTCAAAACATTGCACTTTCCCCATTTTTGTGATACCTCACCATAAAAATTGTTATAACTCAAATCAATGTAAATCAAGTTTGGGTATATACCAAAATCTTCTGATATATTTCCCAAAAGTTGGTTTCTATCAAGCCTAACTCTGAATAAGGTAGAGCAATTTCTCAAGCTTTTTGGGATAGGACCTATGAGATTATTATCACTTAGAGAAAAATTAACCAACAATCCATTAAAGCACAGGCCGTCTGGGATATGACCACTGAGCACGTTGTTATAAAGGTACAAACTAGCTAAGTTGCTCAAGTTTCCTATAGATACAGGGATTGAACCCGTGAGGTTGTTCATTTAGAGTCTGAAATCAACAAGAGACCTAAGCATCCCAACTTCTTGAGGGATTGATCCGGAAAGTTGGTTGTCATAAAGGTACAAAGTGGTTAAGTTGCCCAAGTTCCCTATAGATGCAAGGATTGAACCGGTGAGGTTGTTCGTCGAGAGTTTGAGATCAACGAGAGACCTAAGCATCCCAACTTCTTGAGGGATTGATCCGGAAAGTTGGTTGTCATAAAGGTACAGAGTGATTAAGTTGCCCAAGTTCCCTATAGATGCAGGGATTGAACTCGTGAGCCTGTTCCTTGAGAGTTCGAGATCAACGAGAGACCTAAGCATCCCAACTTCTTGAGGGATTGATCCAAAAAGTTGGTTGTCATAAAGGTACAGAGTGGTTAAGTTGCCCAAGTTCCCTATAGATGCAGGGATTGAACCCGCGAGCTTGTTCCCTGAGAATTCGAGATCAACAAGAGACCTAAGCATCCCAACTTCTTGAGGGATTGATCCGGAAAGTTGGTTGTCATAAAGGTACAGAGTGGTTAAGTTGCCCAAGTTCCCTATAGATGCAGGGATTGAACCGGTGAGGTTGTTCGTTGAGAGTTCGAGATCAAGGAGAGACCTCAACATCCCAACTTCTTGAGGGATTGATCTGGAAAGTTGGTTGTCATAAAGGTACAAAATGGTTAAGTTGCCCAAGTTTCCAATTGAAGAAGGGATTGAACCTGTGAGATTGTTAGTAAACAAGCCAAGCTCATTGAGAGAGCTGAGCAATCCTATTTGTTGGGGGATGGAACCACCAATTTGGTTTCTATTCATGTACAAGATCCTTAGATTAGTTAGTTGGCCTATTTCGGTCGGAATTGTTCCAGAGAGATTGTTGAAAGGCAAGCTAAGGTAGGTGAGTCTCCAAAGGCAACCAATATTGATTGGGATGGTCGCATAAAGTGAGTTGTTAAAAAGTTCAAGGGTGAGGAGATGAGGAAAGGATGAGAAATTAAGATTAGAAAGAGTACCTTTCAAACCATAACCTCGAAGGTCTATATGGACAACACTACCGACCTTATTGCAACCAATTCCAACCCAACTGCAATGGTTGCTTCCAACCCATGAGGAGATGAGAGTTTGACTTTCATTGTGAAGGCTAGCTTTCCACATCAAGAGAGCCGTGGCTTCACTTCCTTCTTTCCCAACTTGTTTTCCAGTTAAGGAAGAAGCAAAAGCATCATAATCAAAAAAAAGTGATCACTGCAAGGATGATGACACAAACTAAAAGCGCTCGGAAAGAAAGAAACTGGTTGGGAAGTGTATTAGCCAAGAATGTCATTGTAGGCTTGTTATTAATAGAAAGCTATGAGAGACAGAAATAGGAAGGAGGGATGAAGAGCTGCAAGAGCATGGAGAGGTATTTATAGATAATAGAGCATAGAGAGGTTTTTTTTTTATTATTATTATTATCAAACATGGAGAGGTATATCTTTCAATAGTTTTGGTTTGGATCCTCCACTAGGAAATATAGGTTCAATTTTGTCAAATTGATGACCAATAAGATCATGGCAGATCGATGCATATGAAAGAGATAGACCATAATCTAAGCAGCTGATCAAAAGATATCTAAGAAATTTTGTCTATAATACAACATAGATATGGACCATAATCTTACTATTTGCAAATAAGGTGATGACACAGTTGTTCCAGTGAATGGATCGGACAGGTCCAAGCTCCTCAGGCCCACGTCCAAATGATCAAGCCCACCGGATAACCTGCAAACAAGTCCAACGAGGAACGAGGTAGTCCCCTAGTGAACCCTCCGACGAGCAAGTTAGAAAGAGAAGTAGGGTGTAGAGAGAGATTAGAGATAGAAAGCTTAACCTTCTTCTTGTCTTCAACGTTTGCTTATTTCCTTTGGTAATCATTTCGCTGTCCCTTCCGACCTGCCCTCCTCGCCGAAAGTCTATGCTGTAGGTTACCTTGTTCAGGGTAAGGGGGTCCTGTTCCGACGGAGAGGTGTTTTTGTAACGACCCCAAAATCCGTATCTGAAATTACCCTTATGCCCTTGTGGGTTAATGCCTTTTTAATTTAACAATATCTGTTTGAATGGAAGAATTATCTGTTGGGTCACGGCTTTAAAATTGAAAATACCGACCTTTACAGGTTCAAAAATCACAATTGAGTACTTGGGTATGTTAATGGAAATTTTTAGACCTATTTAGGAAAATTAATTGGAAATCAAACTTGTCTGATTCGTTAAGGTACGTTTGGGTGGTTAACTTAATACTACCAATTGAAGGCCTTAGAGGCTTCAGAAACCAGAACAGAGGACATATTTATGATCAACTCAATTTTTAGAGTCATCTGGGAAGTTTAATTGAAATTTAATTTTGTGTGATTCGTAAGGGCGTGTTTGGCCTCCTTATTGTGAAAAGCTTAAGTGTGTGTATATTTATATATATGGAGGCATGTTATGTGTGTTGGGAACTCAAGATATTTGAGCCAAAAATATCTAAGGTAGAAGAGAAGAGAAACGTGAGAGAGAAAGAGAGAAAGAGACCAAGATTCTTGAAGAAAAAAACAACTCAACAATCATGGGGGTTTGGAGATGATTAAAGGAAATTGAAGAAAGAGAAGGGAGATCAACCATAGAGGCTTGAGGAAATGGAGGAGAATTGAGAGGAAGACCAAGATTGAACTAAGGTATGATAGTTTATCTTGAATCCTTGTGTTTAAGACATTAATTTCATGAAATCATAATGATATGGAAAGATTTGAGACCATTTAAGTTAAGGTTCTAAGCATGTATTTAATTGAATTCAATTTAAGGAATGAGACCTTGGGTTCTATGGTTTGTTTATGATTGGGGCTCAATCTTATGAATACCCTATGAAATGCACTTTAGAATTGTCCAAAGAATAAAATCAAGCAAGAATTAAGTGAATTTGTGGGTTGTGGGTTGTGTTCTAAGACCCTTAAAGATTATGAAAGATTAAGCATGAATCTTGTACCTTGAAGCAAAGATTGATTTGTTTGAAATGAAAATACATTTGGTTAATGTTGAATTATCATGTTATGGGACAATTTTACATGTTTTTAAGTGATTTATATTAGAAACTAAGCTTAAGAATGGAAGAACCAAGTGTTGGAGCAAAAAGAGCCATTTTCGGACTCCAAACTGCCCAGAGCCGCACGTGCGGCAGGTCTTCCCGCACGTGCGGCGCTACAGTACCAAAACCAAAATTGAATATGCTAAAAAAGCACGTTCTCCCGCACGTGTGGCCCTGTTTCTCGCACGTGCAGGGGAGACACCTCTATTTAGCCAACTTTGAACAAGCATATCTTTTGTATCCGGACTCCGTTTTGAGTGATTCTTGAGCCTAAAACGAAGCCCCGAAAGTCTAATTTCCAATGGTGGTAATCTCACTCCAAAATTCTAAATACAGAAATAGTTATGCCCAAATTAGTGAGCGTTGCTCACTTTCTGTCTACCGGTTTTGTACCGTTTCTTCGTCAGAACCTTTCTCCTATCGCTTCCTCTTATCTTGAGGCATGGATTATAGCCTATGGAGGACTAATGAGTCTAGAACCGCCATGGCTATTGATTAAAGAATAAGAAAGAGATTGGTTTTACTCTCATATTTTGTTATGTGCATTACGTCTGTAGGTCAAGACGAGGACATCGTTCCACCGCTTCAGAGACCTACCACTGTGAGTAATAGTACGGAAATGTACATTTTATTTACCATTGATAATTATTGTTATTAACGCTCTGTTCCTTGTAAGTGTTACACGAACATTTATGACGATTGAAAATCAATGAGAACGCTGAAAGATTTGCGTACATCGGTATGACTTGGGAATCATTCTGTTCTGTCAATAATGAATATTAACCCTCCATTATTTATCAGCATACTACGTTACTTCTAAAAAAATAGATAGAACTTATGTTCATCCTTGAGCAATGGTATCTGTGTGAATCTAAAATTATTCTGTTGTGTTACGTATGGACCTAAGGTCATTCAGAACCTATGACATGAATGCAAAGGTTTAACGTCATTATGCGACCCACGTTAGAATGTGAATTGTTTTGTCTTTGTTAAGTGTACTATAATGACATGATATGATAAGAAATGCTCTATTTTCTGATATGTTACGTTTTGAATCAATGAGTGATTGTCCACATATATATAAGTATTCATGGCATCCTTAGAACAAGGCCCTTACCCGAGGGTAAAAATACCGTGGTCTTATGGCCCTTACCCGAGGGTAATAATATCGCGGTTCATGTATGTTATGCTATACTATGACACCATATGGATGATTCGGTCTTTAAGACCTAAGGATTTCTGGTATGGAACAAAGTACTGTACGGAACTAAGTGCTGATATACGAGTCACTTCTAGAATCCGTACGAACCACCTCTTGAGTCCATACATATATGAACTGAGGCCTATGGCCGTTCTGTGAAACTTAAGAGGCCTACGGCCGATTTGTGACATGTGTAAGGCCTATGGCCAAACTGTGACATCTGGGCCTATGGCCATTCTATATGATCTGTTAATATGAAACAAAGTGTTGCACGGAACTAAGTGCTGCAATGCCAGTCACCTCTAGAATCCATGCGAGCCACCTCTTGAGTTCATACATGCATGAAAAGGGCTTAATGCCATTCTGTTAAAGGGCTTAATGCCACTCTGTTAAAGGGCTTAATGCCATTCTATTTAAGGGCTTAATGCCACTCTGTTCAAGGGCTTAAAGCCATTCTGTTTAAAGACTGGGCCTAAGGCCTTTCTGAAATTAGTACAGAATCAGATTAACTATAAGTTCTCTGCATTTATATACCTTGTGATTCAAGTTAGTTATTGGATTATCACGTACTATTATTCATTGAGCCTTGCTCACTCTGTTTTTATGTATGTTTATGTTGGTGAGCCATCGGGGATTGACACTAGAATTGTATTGGGGTCAACCTGTTTGCCAAGCTGCCTGGGGTACGCCTCCGTGTTGAGGCCTTAATTTTGATTACTGAGAGTTATGTAATTTTTGGAGTCTTATTTAAGTTTGTGTGAGATTTGCATAATTTTGTGATTGTATATGTAATTATGGGAATGTATGTAAATGCTAAATTAATTAAGCCATCATGTATGCCCAAGCTCAATGGATGTTGCCTTTTATTGATATTACTTCCGCTTAAGGCCCCGTATGTGGTTAAATATTATTCTAAATTTTTTGTTTTGAGGCCTACGTACAGGCCGGTCATGGACCAAACTTTTAGGGGCGGGTTTGGGTCGTGACAGGTGGTATCAGAGCACGAGTTAAGATCTCACACACGTGTCCATTGAGCATTTGAGTGTCTAGAATGCATTTAAGTTGCCTGTTTCTAGTAATAAAAGGATATAATGTGCATTTTAAAAGATGTATGTGAGCTTGTACAATGTGTTGAGTATTGAGATTTAGAATAAGAATTCTTATGGACTTTAAGTAATAGAAGGAAATCCATGTGTTATTTATTAGACTGAGTTTTGTGACTAAAGAGGATTTGATCGTTGTTATGAAATGAGAATGGGTTGTGTAATGAGTATGACATTGAGGCTAAAGCAATGAAAGATGTGGAATATTGATGTCCTTAGGATGTTAAAATTGGTCAGCATAAGCATGTTTGTGGAAACGTGATGTGAATAAAGTCTAAATGCAGGTTTGATATGGATTACATATAAGAGTAGCCATGAGGAATTTGGGGAAATTGAGGTTGTGGTTGAGTAATTAAGTGTATGGAATTATGACAATTGAGGAATGTGAAGAGCAACAATGAGTATGGAAGCTTGAAAGTCTTGAGCCCAAAGGGTCATTTATCTAAAAGATATGTATAAGGAAACAGAAGGCTAAGGTTTATGAAATTGTGGTGTTTTGACTTAAATAATGGGGAGTGAAAGCATGTTGAGTTCTGGAAACATGAAATGACAAGTGATTTAGAGCTTTGCTTAAAGCCATAGCAAGAATATTTGGGAAAAAGATATTAGAATTATGGTAGTTGACAAATCATGGAATTATTGTGATTGAGATATTTGATGATTGATAACAAGCATGGAACTAGTAATCAAGAATTAGGATGTTGAAATTGCTACCTGGAATGTTAATAAATACAAGTATCATGATCTGTGAT